ATACTGCAGCATCGTGATGTTAAGGCAGACTGTGTACTGAGTGTAACAGTGTTTGCTAGGTTCTGGAGGGTATAGGATTGGCTGGTAGACAGTAAATAGGGTCATTTCCAGCTTGGTGATGTGGTACTAGTGGCGGTGCCAGAGGGTCACTGCTAAAGCCATAGTCATTTAAATCGATATCAGTGATTTAGACAATGGGAACAAGTGTAATGTCTCCAGATTCACTGGCAAGACTACATTGGGTGGGAGAGATAGCTGTCAGGACAACCAAAGAGGCTGTAAACAAATATGGGACAGCAAGAACTGCAGATGCTGGAGTCAGAGTCAACACAGTGTGGAGCTGGAGGAACACAGCAGGTCAGGCAGCATCAGAAGAACAGGAAAGTCGACGTTTTGGGTCGGGACCCTCATATTTTCACACTGTAAACAGATATGGACTGGTTCACTGAGTGGACAAGTAATTGGCAAATGGAATATAATGTGGAGAAAAGACCATGTGTGGCAGAGATTTACACACTTGGTCAGTGAGATATTAAAAGCATCGTTCCCTGCTCAGTCCACGTCCCAGAGCCGGTGAGGTTTTGTCAATGAGGGAGGGCAGTTTTCTGATTGGATGTTATAACATTGCAACATGAAGATACTGAGTATAACAAGGTTCACTACATCCCATCACATCACCTACGTTGCTGTCTCTATCATGTGAATTATAATTTAAATGTTGGCAGATGAAAATCAACGTGGTGAATTGTGATTCATGTTGGATGCAGTCTACAAATTTGAGAGGCATAGATATTTTGGAAAGGTCAACTACGAGAGGGCACAGCTTCAAGTTGAGAGGGGGAAAGTTTAAGGGAGAGGTGCAGAGAAAATGCACCAACAGAGGGTGGAGGGTGCCTGGAATACACCACCAGTAAAGGTGGTGGTAGCAGGCATAACGATGTTTAAGGCATTTCTTGATAGACACGTGAACGGGAGGCGAACAGAGGGATAGACACCGCGCATGGGCAATAAGTAATGGATCTAAATAAGGATTGGGAACTATCTCAGGCTTGGTGGGCCAAAGGGCATGTAATTGTGCTGTATTATTCTTTGCAGGAAGAACAGAAAAATAGAATGTTCCAGTTTAAAATGGCGAGAAATTATGAAACACAATTGTCTGGAGCTTCCGCTCATCTTGTACACAGATAACAGAATGTTGTCAAGCCAACGATTGAAAGACCCAGGGAAACCAACTCACACTGTTAATCCTAGCAACAGCCAGTGAACACATCCCCATTCTGTGCCCCTAGCAAAGGCCTGTGAGCTCATCCCCATTGTGTTGCCCTAGCAACGGCCTGTGAACCCATCTCCACTATGTTTTCATGGCAATGGCACGTGAACCCATCCCCATGATGTGCTCCTAGCAACAGCCTGTGAACACATCCCCACTGCGTTCTCCTAGCAACGGCCTGTGTACCCATCCCTCTTATGTTGTCCTAGCAACAGCCTGTGAACACATCCCCACCGTTCCCCCAACAATAGCTTGTGAAGCCGTTCCCCCTCTGTTCCCCTAGCAACGACCTGCGAACCCATCCCCATTGTGTTACCCTCGCAGTGGCCTGTGAACTCATCCACAATCTGGTCCACCGGCAACAACCTGTGAACCCATGCCCACTATGATTTCCTAGCAATAGCTTGCGAACCCATCCCGACGATGTTCTCCTAGGAACGCCCCCCAATCTGTTCCCCTAACAACAGCCTGTGAACCCATCCCCACTATCTTCTCCTGGCAATGACCTGTGAACCCATCCCCACACTGTTCTCCGAGAAATGGCCAGTAAACCTACCCCAAAAATTTGCCCTAGCATGGCTTTTGAACCCATCCCTACTCAGTTCCCTGAGCTATGACTTGTGAACACGTCCTTGCTCTGTTTCCCTTGAAATGGCCCGTGAACTCATCCCCACTCTGTTCTCCTAGCAAAGGCCTGTGAAACTATTCCCAATCTGTTCCCCTAACATGACCTCTGACGCCATCCCAACTCAGTTTCCCTCCCAATGGCGTATGAACCCGTTCGCATTCTGTTACCGTAGCAACAGCCTGTGAGCCCATCCCCGCTCCGTTCTCCTAGCATGACTTCTGAACCCATCGCCACAATGTTCTCTTCGCAACAAGCTGTGAACCCATCCCCACTCTGTTCTTGTAGCAACGGCCTGAGAATCCATCCCCAAACTGTTCCCCGAGCAACGGCCCGTGAACCTAACTTCATCCTGTTCCCGTATCAACGGCCTGCCATAGCTTCCACACTCTTCCTCGAGCCATGGTCCGTGAACATGTCTTTACGCTGTTTCACTAGAAACGGCCTCACTCGGTTCACGTTGCAACCACCTGTGAACCGGTCCCCATCCCGTTCTTCTAGCAACGGCCTGTGAACCAATCTCCCCTCTATTCCCACAGCAACAGTCTCTGAGACCATCCCCAATCTATTACCCAAAAAGGGCCTGTGAACACATCCCAGCACTTTTCTCGTGGAAACAGCCTGGGAACCCATCCTGGCACTGTTCCCCGAACAATGGCCTGTGAACCAATGCCTACTCTGTTGCCTTAGCAACAGCCTGTGAAGTCATTCCCATTCTGTTCCCCTACCAACGGCTTGTGAACCCATCCCCACACTATTTCCCAAAGCAAACTCCTGAGAACCCATCCAAACTCATTGTTCCTCGCAATGGCTTTGAACCCATTCCCATCTGTTCCCCTGGCAATAGCCTGTGAAACCATTTCTATTCTGATCTACGAGCAACCGCCTGTAACCCCATCTCCCATCTGCTCGCCTAGTGTGACCCTGTCCCCACTCTGTACCCTGAGCAACAGTCTGTGTGAACCCATCCCCACTGTGGTCCCCAAGCAACGGCCTTTGAACCCATCCAAACTCTGTTAACCGAGTAATGACTTTGATCTCTGAGCAACAGCCTGTTAACCCAGAGATAGTAGGAACTGCAGATGCTGGAGAATCCGAGACAACAAGGTGCAGGGCTGGATGAACACAGCAGGCCAAGCAGCATCATAGGAGCAGAGAGCCTGTTAACCCATCACACTTCTGCTCACGTAGCAATGGCCGGTGACCCCCTTCCGCACTCTATACCCCTAGTAATGGCCTGTGGACTCATCCTCACTCTGTTCTCTGAGCAATGGCTTTCAACCTATTACCTCTCTTCTAACAATGCCTTTGAACCCATTTCCACTCTGTTCCTCTGGCAACAGCCTGAGAACACATTCCTATTCTGCTGTCCGAGCAGCAGCCTGTTAACCTATCCCCACACTCTTCCACGAGCAATGATTTGTGATCCTGTACCAACACTATTCCCCAAGCAACGTCCTCTGAACCCATCCCCAATCTTTTTGCCTGTCAACCGCCTGTGAACCCATTCCCACTCCGTTCCCCCAGAAACGGGCTGTGAAGGCATCCCCACTCTTCCCCAAGCAAAGGCCTGTGAATCCATCCCTGCTCTTTTCTCCTAGCATTGGCTTTAAACTCATTCTCTTTTTTTCTCTGAACAACAGCCTGTGAACCAATCCCCACTGCTCCTCTAGCAACAGTGAGTGAAACCATTCCCACCCTGTTCCCCTAGCAACGGCCTGTGAACCTATCCCCACTCTGTTCCCCTAACAACAGCCATTGAACCCATCCCCACTCTTCCCCTCGCAATGGCCTGTGAACCCATTCCCACTATGTTCTCCTGGCAATGCTACCTGCGAACGCATCTCCACCCTGTTCTCCGAGAAATGGCCTGTGAAACTACCCCAAAAGTTGCCGGAGCAATAGCCTTTGAACCCATGCCTAGTCAGTTCCCCGAGCTATGGCCTGTGAACCTACCCCCAATCTGTTCCCCTGGCAATGGCTTAGAGCCTATCCCCTGTTCTGAGCTCCGAGCAACAGCCTGTTAACCCACCACCTATCTGCTCGCCTAACAATGCCCTGTGAACCTGTCCCTGTTTTGTTCTCCAAGCAACAGCCAATGAACACATCCCTAGTCTGTACACCCGAACAGTAGTCTGTGAATGCATCCCCATTCTGTTGCCCTAGCAATGGCCTTTTGAACCCATCCCCAGTCAGCTGCCCAATAACGGCCTGTGAACACAACCCCACTGTCATATCCTAACAAGTGCCTTTGAATCCATCCCCATGCTTTTCTCCTAGCGATGGTTTTGAACCAATCTCCTCTTTTTCTTTCACTAGCAATGGCCTGTAAACCCATTGCCGGCCTCTTCTCCCAGGGACGGCCTATGAACCGACCCCACATGTTCCCCGAGCAACGGTTTGTGAACCCATCCCCACTCTGTTTTCTTAGCAAGAGCCTGTGAAGCCATTCCCACGCTGTTCCCCAAACAATGGCCTGTGAATCCATCTCCAATGTGGTCCCCTAGCAATGGCCAATGAATCTATCTCCCTTCTGTTGTTCTCACAATGGCTTTGAAACAATCCCCATTCTGTTCCACTAGCCATGGTCTTTTGAACCCATCCCCAATCTGTTGCCCTCTCAACGGCCTGTGAACCAAAACGTACTCTGTTGTCCTAGTAACGGAAGATATGCAGGGTGTGAGTCAAGTGGAACACAGGTAGTTTGGCAGGTAGAGAATGTGCAGGAGTGAGAGACTGTGAATGAGAATGGGGGAGGGAAGGACATTGGAAAAAAAAGCATGAACAATGGAGGAGGGATAAGAGGGACGGACATTATGAGAGTGGTAGGGAGATATGGAAGGAGAGGTAATGAGCGAGAGAGAGAGATGGATTCTGCCAAGACCAGGTCAGAGTGGGTGACCCAGAGGTGAAAGCAAGGACAGAGTAACTTAAATCCAACTCTTGAGCTCGGCCCCGGCCCCCTCCCCTTCCCTGAGGACCAGGACTTTGGGACCAAGTCTGTCTCTCCAGCTCAGCTTCTCCAACACAAAGACAAACCACAAGAAAGTTCACTCTGCTGCTTGATACATTTTAATGAACATTTTTATTATTTACAAATTGAAGCTATAGGTACAGTCAGTGGAATGATGCCTTTTCTCACTGCCCTCTGAGTTGAGACGAACATTGGAATGTGTTCCTGTCACCCTGTGGGGAATAAGGTTGGACAAAGCAGCTTCATCCTCAGTCTGTTGCATTAGTGACCGGCTGCATCATTGCTGAAACATTGAACTGAAATGAGAACTTCCTGAGTGGATTGTTTACTGAGTGAGTTTGATTGATTGATGAATTTGGGTGAAGGGATATTTCAGCACATTCTTCAGCTGCTGTCTGAACTTAGTCTGGGTCACGGCATAAATCGCGGTGTTTGTGCAGCAACTGAGTAGCTGCAGCATGAAGCCCAATTCCTGCACAAATTTAGGTACACGCTCAAGCTGAGACCCCATATTCCACATCCGGTTCCATATAGAATACGCCATTAATATTGACCATAACAAGATGAAATTGGCTGAGATCACAAACAGTAAAATAATGGATTTTTTCCGATTTCTCATTTCTGCGTCACACTGACCATCCTCATTGGTGTGAGCCCGGAGTCTCCTGCGGGCTCTGCTGGTTACTAAAATGTGTCTGACGGTGAAAACATTGAGCAGCAGAATCAGGAGAAATGGGAGAGTCGGGGTTAGGATGTGGTGGAGGAACTCGATTATGACCCAGACACGGGACATTTGAACAGCGGGTGTTACCTCACAAAACCAGGGGAGGTTCCCCAGCCAATAGCGAGCTGTGAGCATAAAATACCAGAAAATGTTCTTTAAACAGCTCAGCACAGTCACTGTTCCCAGAACCACAGCCGCCGTTTTCTCACTGCAATATTTACTTTTCAGCTTCT